CTGAACCGATAATCCATTTCAAACTAGTAAAATATAAATTTTTATTTATAATACCAATTAAGTAAGTTCTTGACCTCAGAAATTAAAAGCAAATTACAATCAATTTCCTTATAGTTATTTCTCTGTATTTATCGAATAAGTGATAATAGCGCGAGAATCGAATAAATAAAAGTAAAACAACTCAATATATCATCAGCAGCTAGTGTATATCAACTTTCTGACCTAAGAAAGTGTCAACTTACGCTTTCTGAGAGTCGGTAGTATCACCATTCCCGCGACTTTTAGTCACTTCTAAGGTATTTGCTACTTTGAATACGAGGAAGAACTGCCGATTCCGGTCAGTTGTCGCCAGTTCTTTCAACTGTTTAGTTTAGTGTGTCTGTATGCTTCTCTGGATTAATTGTCTTCTGTGCCCTATGATTTGTTGTCATTCTTCTACTGCTGCTTCTGTTCCAAACTGCTAAGTGAAGGACTACTTTCCGAAGATCTGAAACAAGAATTTTTGTGCTGTTTAATAAATGTTTAAGTGTTGTAAATTGTGTCGAGTGACTTCTTTTCAACTGAACATCGTCATTTCCTACTCCATCCTTTTACATTCTAAAACTCGTGTGAGAAGCGTAATATACTTGGTGTCAGAATTAACACACCACCATCGGAGAACAGTACAATAGTATCAAAAGGAAAATATTTATTCATTTAGTTATTTATTTTAATAATAATACTAATGTTCTTATTAAAATAAAATTTCATAAATGTCGGAAATGCTATGCAACTCGTTGTTAAAATTTTTATTATTATGTTATATTACTTTGTATGTTATACACAAGTAAACTGTATGTTATTCTCTATTTGGTGTTTCCTGTCGATGTATTTACTAAATAAATATCACAGAATAAAAAGTTCTTTACTAAAAAATAAATAGGAATTTTTTATTCTGTTTATAATAGAGTAAAGATACTGAACAGAGTGATAAAACAGAACATCACTCTGTTCGTGATCGTTGCAACTCTGTCACAATGCCATAAAGATACAAAATTGGCGGACAACACAAGGCATTTGCAATCTTCCGTAGGATAGTCAGTCAGTGATTTCAGTAGTCAGTCATTGTGTCCTATGAACACATACGGAATTTGCTGGATCCTAAAGTGATATTCACTTTTAGATTGTTTACGTGCAATGTGGGTTGACTATTTTACTGTCTAAGAGCACAACCCATCGTGTCATGCTGGACTACTTAAGACCTTCAGATTTTAATATGCACTAGGAAATTTCATCACTTAGGTACTTTGAAATCAAACACAGTCTGAAAATATTTATATACAGCTGTCCCTTAATAGTCAGACGTTTTGTAATCCGATATGCTCAGTAGTCCGACGCATCTCCCGTCAAGGTACCTGTCCCGTTACGTGTCTGCTTGCACAGAAGCATGTCGCGACGTGAATCTCNGGGGGAGGGGGAGGTGGGGGAGGGGAAGGGGGCGCCAATAAAGTGTCGTGCCCCGGGCGCCAGTTATGTTCGCTACGTTACTGGACAGGTGGGAAACCAATTGGGTAGGGAGAAGAAAAAGGTTTAACCAATTAGCAATGATTCGATCCGGAGAAAATTATAACAACTCCGACTTCAAGCACAAGTGAAGGCTTTCTGTAGAGTACACCTGTTGTTATCGTTGCCCACTTCTCTTGGTGCTTCAGCTCGCCGCTATCTTGTGTTACTTTACTAAACCGAACTTTAACTCGACATCGCCCCGGGGCTCCTCCACCGCTTGATGAAAAGAAGATCACTAGAGACATCTAACCGCCAGGACAACGACATCTGGGACTTTATCAATCATTTGTAAGCATGATCTTCGAAAAAATAAACGGTTTCTTCGTGAAACACTTGTCGTTTGCTGCCTCTTCAAATCCGCCACCCACATACGCGTAGACCTTAGACCATCCCGACGGTAGGGAATAAAAACTCCCCCAATCGGCGTCCTTACAGATCACAGTCCATTTCCTAGAACGACTGTGGGTGGTACTCTCACCACCTGACTTCGGTTTGCCTGTTTGTAGAGAGAGTCGCCATTTTGTATTTTACATTGACTCGGTTCTCGATCCCTTGAGTACCTACAAGTCTGTTTTTTTATGCGCGTATGATTTGGGCACCTAATACTCTGTGCCAAATTACAACTCCTGACATGTACTCCTTCATACTTCTAAGCTGGTAACACAGCAGACAGTACGATTTTATAAAGAAGACATAGTCTTCTTTACAATTAATATTTGAAGGTAATATTGTTATTGTATAACAACTTTTGTTAGACATTTAATAAAATAAATTTCAATTTTTTAAATGTATAAACAAACTGTGCAAACTTTTCTTGAAAAACTAAAATTTACTGTAGTGTATTAAATATTTTTTACTAATAAAAATTTAAGATTTGTTTTAGTTTTTCACATTATTTAGTTTTGTTTTATTTATAGTTTTATATTTTTTGTGTGCTCTATTTCTTGTGAGAGAGGGGGCCCGGTAAGAAGAAAATGTCTAGGGCCCCAAAGTGGGTTAATCCGGCCCTGAGTAT